CACAATGATATCATCATATCCGGTCAACTTGTGAATGGCCTTTACTCAATTGAAATAAAGGAAGAAATTGCCTATGTCTCGGCTTCGAATGGTGTGGATGTTTTCTTATCGCATATACGACTAGGGCACATAAGTTTTAAAAGAATGGAAAGATTAAGAAAAGATGGGATCCATCGAAATTATAAGGGAGATCTATCAAAAGTATGTGAATCATGTGTGCAAAGAAAATTAACAAGAAACTTTCCATTAGGGCAAAAAGAGCTTCTAGAAATCATTCATAATAGCATATGTGGTCCTATGAACGTGGCTACCAAAAGCTACAAAAAGTATTTCATCACTTTTATTATATTACTGTTGAAATATTTCTATGTTATTATGACATTTTCAATATTATAATATTCTTAATAATGATAAAAGATATTATATTATTATAGAATTATTATAATTAGCCAACCCCAATTAATTGGGATAAGGATTGGATGATGATTATTATTATTATAATTATCATATTATATTATACTATTCTATTATATTATATTATATTATAATAATATTATAATCAATATATTATACCATTATTTCATAATAATAAAAATTAAATATTATATTATTATTTAATAATAATCATAATATTTATTATAATAATAACAATTATAATTATTATAATAATTATAATGATACTATTATTACTATAATCGATTATAATTAAAATGATACTATTATTTCGTGAAATGTAATGTAAGAATGAAGGAATCTCGCTTTTGCAAGTACGAATATTATATTTGAACTTGTTGAAAAAAAATCTTCAATTTTTGCCTTGAATTTTGGTTATTATTGTCAGATATCAGAAGACAAACTCGACAACTTTGAAATGTAGTCATTTATTCCTCACTTGGACAATCACTAAAAAGGACCTAAACGATTCTTAGCTACAATAATCACAACATTGAGAATGATTATCTTTTTAAAAATAATGATGCAATGAAAATTTTTGAATTTCCTGAAGATATATCTTCCAAGCAATCCAAACAGTGAAATGCATCTTCCGGGTCTCTGACAGATACTATCCAAACAGCATACACCCATCTTCTAGGAAATGTCAATTCCAAGAGATACCAACTGTTAATCCTTTGACTACACCACGTGCAGCACCAAGCCTCAGTCCACACTTGACTAAGGCTAGGCCAGCCTTCCCCACACACCATGCTGGAGAGAGTTCGGAGACAAACACAAGCATAAAGGCACACACACAAGGCAAACTATAGCTAAGGGCACCAGCTCAGTATATTCTACTATACAATTGGTTTATGTATACCGGCACAGTCCCCATACTCTGAAGGGGGCAAGGGGTACATATAGCCCCAAGAATATATTCGAATTTCAAATGGCACACTGCCATAACCATCATGCCACCACCAATGACTGTTGCATGGAGGCCACTTGCCGCCCACCACATGGGTCAGTTACACGCATTGACTGCCCATGTCCCACGTTCTGTGCCAGCAGGGCGTAACTACCCACCACTCATGGTGGTTGTTACACTCACCTTCCCCACTCCCTCAGTCCGTGCCCTCTAGCTCCTGAGTGGAGGGGATCAGTTACACACCTAGTCACCCCATTACTCTAGGGGTTGACTAGCCATGCAGGTCATGCACCAGCATGATGACAGTTACAAGGCCCACTCACCCACATGCACTCACACACACACATTAAGGCCTATGGCCATTCCATAAACCCATGCCTAGGCAGTTATATGTTTTGGAACTCACATATAGCCATTTTGCACACACCTGCCCAGCCAGGTGTGTGGCTCACCTCTTGCACAAGGTCCTCCTGACCGTGTCCCATCAAGTCGAGCCACCTCTTAGCCACCAAGCCCACGCTGTCCTCTGCCCAAGGCCTCATGCCAAGGCTCTTCAGCCACCAGCCATCCGCTTGTGCATGCACCATGTACCTAGTGCTGCACACTATGACCCCTCACGCGGGTCAAGAGAGAAGGTCACACACTCCTCTCAAATATGGTCGTTTGCGTAAAGAATAGGACCTTCATGAATTGTAGCTCCGCTTTGCCAAAGTGGCATATGTGCTGCCTGATGAACCAGGGGGTTACTTGACCCTGCACCATCAAGGCACTGCTACGCCACTTGGCCTATCCACGCGCATCACACTGCACTAGCCGGCCTGCTCCATGCACCAGTGACGCGAACTTGTTCACATAGTCACGCATCAAACCCATTTAGCAAAGCTTTCGCAAAGCCTCACGAGCTACCCAGGTCGCATTGCCTAGCAAGAACTGCTCCTTCAGCTCTCTCTTCAAGATCCCAAGTGCTCAACTTGGGCCTTGAAATGTCTGCAACCCTCATCCTCCACTAGAGCTTCGCATTTTCGACGAGGCACCATGTACAAATGCCCACACGATCCTTCTCATGGGCATGAACAGCCTCGAAATACTGCTCCATGTACCATATGAAGTTCTCCCACACCTTGGAGTCTCGCTGGCCTTCAAACACTCATGGCTCTGGCACCCTCACAGCTCGAGAGTCCAGCCTGCCACTAGTGCTACACAAGGCCTTTTAACAAGCGCGATGTCATCCTGTAGGGTCAGGAGGTTGGCCTTGAAGGTTTTGGTGAAGGCCTTATGGTCATCCATGAGCTCTCCCATACGAGCATCACAAACGCCACAAAGTCCCTCCACCTTCTCCTCCAAAGCTCCAAACCAGTCCTCCAAGATAGTAGGCTTCTACCCCAACCTGCCATCCAGAACCCCTTGGCTAAGTTGCTCCAACTGCATCTCAAGGTGTGCTACACGATCCTGCAACTCAGCCATACCACCAGCCATGGTAGCACCGTGCCAACCTTAAGCTCTGATACCAACTGTCACAAGGATAATCCTTTGATTACTCCACGTGCGGCGCCAAGCCTCAGTCCACACTCGACTAAGGCTAGGCCAGCCTTCCCCACACACCACGCTAGAGAATGTTTGGTGACAAACACACACAGGGGCACACACACAAGGCAAACGATAGCTAAGGACCTCAGCCCAATATATTCCACTATACAATTAGTTTGTGTATACAGCCTCATTCCCCTCACTCTGAGCCAGGCAAGGGGTACTTATAGCCCCAAGAATACATTCGAATTTCAAATGGCATACTACCATAACCGTCACACCACTACCATGACTGCAGCATGGAGGTCACTTGCCCACCATGAACCCTGAGTCACCCACCTGGCCACCCATCACATGGGTCAGTTACACGCATTGACTGCCCATGTCTCATGTTATGTGCCAGCAGGGCGTAACTGCCCACCAATCATGGTGGCTGTTACGCCCACCTTCCCCACTCCCTCAATCCACACCCTCTAGCTCCTTGAGTTGAGGGGATCGGTTACATACCTAGTCACCCCATTACTCTAGGGGTTGACTAGCCATGCAGGTCATGCACTTTCACTTACCGACATGCACTCCCACACACACAATAAGGCCTATGGCCGTTATATAAGCCCAGGCCTGGGCACTTTGAAGAAGTTGTTTGGAATTTATTTGATGAGTAGGGGTAGTTTGGTATTTATTGTAATTTGGGTTTAGAAGATTGGTCATATTTTAAACCCAATTTACTGAATCAATTGATTCTGTTGAATCTCAGTTGTCTACACTTGTACTGGATAACGAATGGTTTCCTAGTGACTTTTTGTGAAAGAGTTCTAGGACCTGGTGGAAGAAGATATTGTGCGCATGGTGACTGAGTTCAACTTTCAATCAACAGGGGTATGAATGCAACATTCATCACATTGATAACAATACTGGATGGCCCCGAGAATATAAAGGATTCAGAACCATTAGTCTGATCAATTGAGCTTATAAAAGGAAGTAAGGCAATGGCAACCAGGTCAAAGGAAGTAATCAACAGTATAATATCTCTGCCACAGAGTGCTTTTGTAAAAGGAAAGCATCCTAGATGGTGCCTTGATAGTGCATTAATGCCTAGCGGTAATACGTAAGCTTGATTCATGGGTTTCACCGCAAATGTTGCTCGTAGATCTCAGTCTGGGTCGCACAAGCGTCATTCTGAATTCAAGGGAAACCCTGTGGATTCTTCCCCTTGACAAGAGCCATATGGCAAAGAGATCCTCTCTCATCCTTTCAATTTGCAATAGTCGCTGAATCCTTCAGCAGGATAATCTCCAAAGTATATGACTGCAAGAGGCTTCAGGCATTCCACAGCAAGAAAACACATGGTGTCCCACCTATATACACAAATGACATGCTAGCCTCCTGGGAACCAACAACAAATGTTAGGTTATTTATCGTTATTACTAAGACATATTGAAATTGCATCGGGCCTTAAAATCAACATGAAGAAAACCTCGCTGTTGGGGATTTGGGTCGACAAGAAGGAACTCAAGCTTTTAGAAACAAGAAAAGGTTGCAGCATGGAATCTTCAAGTATGTATTTGGGTGTGTATTATGTGTAGGAAAACCACGTAAAGCTCAATTGGGCAGGGCCATAGAGAGGTACGAGCAAAAGTCAGCCACTTGGAAGAGCAGCTTCTTATACTTGGGAGCGCATTATGTTAATCAAAGCAACCCTATACAACTCCTTATTTAAAATGCTGATTTCTGTGGTCCACAAGCTTGAACCAATTCAACCAGAATTCTTGTGAAGAGATTCGCCAAAGGATTACAATTTTCACCTGATAAGGGAACAAATGTGTAAACCAAAGGAAATGGATTGGGAACAAGAAAACTCCAAGTATTTAATTCAAGCGCTTCTTGTAAAGTGGTTATGGAGGTTTGCAGAGAAGGAGGAGCTGTGGTGGTAGAAAATCATCAAACAGAAATACAGTTCTTGCGACTATGGTTCAAGAAAAATCAAGCAAGTACTTCATGGGTGTGGAGCTCTGTAAGTCCAGTGTATGACAAATTCAGCAGTATACATCTCAAATTTAGGAAACAGTACAAAGATAGATTTCTAGAATGATCTCTGGGGGCAGAATACCTTAGCAACAAGGTTCCATAACCTTGCTGCAATTGCTAGTGACCGAGAAGCGGTGGTGGCAGAGTTGATGACACTTAGGGCAGGAGACATTGTGGTGCCAGGTGTTCAGATTTTAGAAGGTACCTGAAAGAAAGTGAGCCTGAGAAACTGTGTAACATGCTTAGAGACCTAGAATCAATGCTCATTTCCACACAGATAAACAAATGCTGTCATCTATTCACCAGATAGCAGATGTGAATTTTCAGGTTAGTCCTTCTCTTATAAGAGCCTGATGAAGAAAATCCAGGAAATGCAGTCAGCATACAAACTTTGGAAACTGCCTACACCACCAAGAGCCCAAAGTCCCAAACCCCATTATGGCTGGCTACACTGGAAAATACTAAAGATGGATCACCTGTGACATAAAGGCCTCATGAACCCAAATTGGCACATTATGTGTAAAATCGATGAGAAGACTGTCGGCCATTTGCCCGTAAATTGTAAGTTTGCGTCAAAGGTATGGTCCTTTTTCCTGAATCTATTCGGTTTCAATTGGGCATGTACAGCATCAGTGGGGAATCTTGTCACCTACCATACCAAGGACTAGAACAATTGATACTAACAATCGCCGTAGTTCTATGGACAATATGGGCTAAAAGAAATAAATGCATCTTCTAAGAACAATATAAGGAGCTGCCACAGATAACAGATCGAGGTAGGGCATTGGTTATTTCATGGGCCCTATCCAAAAAGGAAATTTTCAAGTTACTCAAACTCAGATTTGGATAAGCAATAAAGAAATATACAGTGGAGCTCCAGACCAAGAGGCATCTAGCCATCGGACTGGCAGACAACTATAGAGGGCTAATTTTGATGGATGCTCTTTGGGAAACCTTAGTTGGGCAGGAGTAGGTTGTGTACTTCACAAACACATGCGGGAAATTATTTCCACCTACTGCGATAACAAAGGACTTCTGATTCAAATGAAACAGAAGCTTGTGTGCTGCTAACGGGTATTCGCTTCCAATTGCCAGAATGGACTGTAGTAGTGGTGGAAGGAGGTCCGAGAAACATTATAAGTTGTGATAAGACGCTCAACACCCTTTTGAGATCACCCAAAATCTTTCATGAGATATTTGGGATATGTAAAGAGTGATGGATTGTTTTCTCTCACATTCGGAAAGAGTCAAACTAGGTGGCACATAACTTGGCAAAAGAAGGAGCCATAAGGAAAGAAATTTTTGTCACAGATATGGCTAAATTCAACCGAGACTCAATTGACACAGTTTTGTAATTATGTAAGTTTTTATTTTGATACAGTCCTGACAGATTTCTGTATACACACAAACTACAAAATGAAATAAGAAAATAAGAATTATTTGAAGGAAAAAGAAAAAGAGCAGTAATGGTGTGTTGGGTAATGGGTATTTCTCTCCTCACCAGAGTGGGGAGACATTGACATCACTTTGATGTGTTTGGCTTTGTGCAGTTGGTATGTATCCTAATAATGCTTTTGGCAATCAATCGAGAATTAAATCATAAGAAAGGGTCTGCCTATCCTAACCCTCAAGTTCTTTTTTGTTACTCTAATTAAATAGTATCTCTTGGTTCAAACTTCAAAATTTGTTATCAAGCATAACATAAAGCCCATGCCTCTGAAAATAACTTTTCACAAGTAGACTTGGACTAAGTTAAATTTTTCATTTTACACATAATTTTCATCTAGAAAATAATAAGGAGGGATCGTATACCAGGGAGAGTTATCCCTCTTTGGTGTTCAAAATGATCAAATGCATAATACACAAAAAGACAGTTGGATTACACCAGGAAAATATAGGTGATCCCCAGATTAGTAGATTTATGCAATTCCCAAAACATACTCTCATAATAAGATAAGTGTTACAACTCAAACTAAATGTACCAACACCCTATGAAATTTTGGGAGGCCTAAAACAAATCCCACTAGTCTAAAGCACCATACCAAAGACTCGAGTGTGAATTTAGAACCAATATCCCACCTCCAAACAACTCGCCATCCTTAAGGTTCCCAACACTACAGGCACCAAACCCTCCACTCATGAAGAAAAGGAGCCACATTGTTATTAATCAAAAAATAAAAATTACTTAGTTTTTCAATGAATTCATTAAGGGAAAAGAAAACCCAATGTACACTAAGTGAGAAAGTCTAGGAGATCCAGCATGCATCAGCCTAAAACTTGACTCTTAGTGTATCTAAGATAACTTTCAAACTTTTTTCACTTCGGACTTAGAAGAAAAAAAAAATAACAGTTTCAGTGATTGTGGATTATGCGTTTGAGTTTTTCATAACTAACATATTATACATTAATCCACAAGAAACCCCAACATATTAAAAATACAGAAAAACCAGAGCAACTAAAATGGAAACGGTAGCATAAGAAGCGTTCCTGAACCTAATTCTAACTCCAACTTACATGTGATCACAAGAAAGGATAGACAGTGCAGCGTCAGAGAATAAATGGACTTCAACAATAGTATTATACAAAAAGCTAAGTTTTTCTCCTCTTATATGCATAGATGTATTCAACAACCGTATGAACTTCATTACCACTTTAAAATCATCACCGTCATTAATACATGCCCTCAGTGGCTTAAAATCAAAATAATCAATAATACATGTCTGTTTCACATTATATCAAGTCTTCACAAACAAATCTTCTCCACATAATTATACCAACAAAAAATACTATACCGTCTCATTTCAGAAAGAAAATAAATGAGTATAAAGCAAAATTTATATGGAATTCTAGTAAAGGAAAAACAGACTTTATATGGAGTTCTAGTAAAGGAAAAACAGATACAGCTCTGCATGAAGAACCTCCTCAATAGTTTATAAAACGAAAAATAAAATAAAATACAAGAGGGTAAAATAAAAGATGAATGCCAGATACTTGATAGAACCAAAGCTTCAATGGATTATTATGAAAAGAAATGCTTATCTGAAGCTAAGCTTAGTGGAAAACTGTGCAAAAAAAAAAATCCAAATTTAAATATTCGCTTTCATACTGTTGCAGAAACCCACACACCATACCAATACTTTCACCTTTTATGGACATTAGCATTAAGATCACAGTAACTGAAACATGTTCCGTTAGTTCAAAAGTTTCAAAACAATAGATTAAAAGTGGTTAAAAAAGGAAAAGATTAAGCTCATTATTGAGCTCACCTGTTCCCTGGTTCAGATATTTGCGTGTAAAGCCATGAATCTTTTTCTAGGGTTTTAAAAAAGTTTCCATAAATGGAAAAGAAACAGGGAAACGCACCTTTGAGAATGTACCATTGCTCTTCCGAAACGAGGGAGGGTGAGAGTAGAGAGAGGAGAGAGAAAAAAGAAATTATAACTCTGCTTTCTGGGATTTATTATGCATTTAAATTATTTAAAAAGGATTTTATGTTTCAAGTTGCCCGCCAAAATAAAATAATTAAGAGAATTAAATAAGGGAAAAGTTTTTGTAGGGCCGAGACTCTAAACAATCAAATTGGATTCTACCTCAAATATTTCACTAGAAGAGGTTGTTATGATACCCAAATATCATCAAATTCATCATCTTTATATCATGATGCATGGACATGAGAAAAAAAAAAATGGACTTCACGTTTTGAAAATGCATTTTTGGACCGTTAATTTTCAAGCAATTCGAGTTTTCATAGATGTCCTCAATCTACGTAATTTTTAAAACTTTGAGTTTTATAATTAAAGATAAAAATATTTTTTAAGACTATCACAAAAAAAATTTAATATTGAAACCATATTTTTCGACAGAAGGTGGATTCTAATTTGATTGTTTAGAGCCTCGGCTCTACACAAACCGCACCCATTAAATAACGGAGCAATAATACTTAGTCATACCAACTTGCAGCGAATGCGTATCCGTAACATCAAGGTGTTAAAATACCCCTGATTGTTTAAATAAATTCGATGGTGACCTTATAGACACGAATTTGAAAAAGCGTATTTGAATGATGCAAAATTTCGAAATTCTGCTGAATAGTTTTGGCAGCTGGTATTTAATGCTTTAATGAGCTTGAGGATCAGAGTTTAAGAAAAGCATTTTTTAATCCAGTGCAATTTCTATCCCCTCCTATAATAAGTATCATTAAGCTTTAATTGAAAATATATATTGGAAAATTCGATTCAAAAGGAATATTTTCATTTTAATAAATAATTTATCTTTATCCAGGTTAGATAGTACACATTTTGGATTTAAGCAAACGAGGTTCTCTCATTTTAAGAATGGTGCGGTTTCCATAAGGATGCAACCTTAAACAATCCAAGCACGGCACACCTTGAAATTTTGTCATAACATATAATTTTGTTATAAAAAGTTCTTAGTATTATCTTAAAATCTATTTTCATATCTAATTAGAAAATTTTAAATTTCAAAAATAGTTAAAATCAAGTAGATCTATAAATATATTAAAATCTTGATAATGGACGGTCTAAATAATTTGTTGCAAGATGCATTATTTTCAGGACTCAAAAACTCTTTTTTTTTATATTCATACATCTCAATGTTGATATGATCGATTAGAAGGTTTTTTCAACATTAAAACAACATTTCCGATAGATTTTTGAGGTGCATATGTGATTCTAGGTTACAATCTTATATAAACTTTTCCCTTTTGAGAATTATTAACTTTATTAAAAACTTTAAGCCATTATCTCTTCATTTTCAAAATTTTGTCATTTGGAAAGAAATATGCATTTTCACCCTTTTGAAATACTAATCAAAATAAATGTTATGCATTGCACAAGCCTTTTAGCTAGTGTCTTTTTTACTTTTTACCTTTTTTTTTTTTTTTTGTTGGCCACCTAAGAGGCCTGGCAATGGGTTGAGCAGCCAAGCCTGCCTTCGTTGGCCCGGCCCTAAAAAGTCGGCCCGAGCCACAGACTGTAGCCCGAGTGCCGGTCTAGGATCCGTACTAGCCCAGCCGGTCTAGGATCGATACTGGCCCAGCCCATTCCAACCCTAATAGAGCCAAGGTCGTTCCTATAAGGACAAGGGCCAATCTAGGGCTAGGGCTAGGGCTAAGGAAAGCCCAACCCAAACCTACCTAACCCATTAAGCCTAAAGGTTGATCTCACTAGTATTTATACTTTTTAAGTAAAATATGGTGCAAGATTCTAGTAGCCAAACAAATATGGGGACTTATATCCTTTAATAGAGTAGAATGGCTTATCAGGATTCCTATAGTTGATCTCAATTAATTGAAAAAATGTTATGATGATGATGAAGTAAATATGATGAATGAGATAGCTGTAGAGGAGGAGGAAATAAATATACTAGGTGTGTGTGAGAGAGAGGATGTTTACGTGAAGTTTAGGAAAAAGGGGTGAGGAAACCTTTTGATATCATTTCATGAAAAGGATATTTTGAATGGAGCTTAGTGGTTGAGAGTGAACGAATTATTTATTACATTTAACTTAAAACTTAGAGAAATAAATAGTGGGAGAAGATAAATAAAGTGGCACGTAAAATATGGGTTTGGACTCTTGCATATCGTCACACACTACCATTTTTTTTTTTTAATGTTTTTCTTTTTCGTTCCTTGGATGAGTGCATTTTTATATCCACGATACGTTCACCTTTCATCACATTAGTCTCCAGCTAATAAATGTATTTTTAAATAATGCTACCCTTTCATGTTTCGGACAATATAGATCAAGCAATTCTTGACTATTTGAGAACAACATCATTTGTACAACTTCAAATTGATGGTGATATAACTGCAAGTTCAAATTGATGGTGATATAACTAACAAGCGTGTATACTATGCTCTCTTGGGAGAACAGTTTAACTATATGATTAATTCTATAAAAAAAGTTGAGTTTTTTAACACTTAGATCTCACCATCTAAAAACTATATTGGTTTCTATTCAATCTCAATACTTTATTCTTTTATGGGGGTTACAAGTAGAATGTCTTTTTAGGCAAAAGATATTCTGCTCCTATGGGAGTATAATGTCTATTTATTCCCTCTGCCAAAACCCAATTAACTTTAGCACTCTAAAATTTGGAGATGTAACATCTTCAATCTATAGATTAACCTCAATAAAAAAAAAAATCTAATTCTACTCTCTATGCACTTGAAGAACATAATATCTTAGGATTGAATAGTGACCATCCAATTTTTGGATGGTGAGGTCTAAGTGTTAGAAAACTTAAATTTCAAATTCTTTTTTGTGAATAAACATCTACTGAGTGGTTTCCAAAATTTCAGATTTAAACAAATTCACCCCAGTAGGTTTTCTGGAGGGAGTAGAAGTAAACTATGGGAGCATAATATAACATACATGCTGTTCCTTTTATTGAGATCAATCTATGGTTGAAGAAGTTCCATCCCTAAAATTTGGGATCCTAAAATTAATTCTAGTTGGGGTTTTATGTGAGGGAGCAAATGTACATTCCACTCCTGCAGGAGTATAATATCGTTTTATGACAACCATATCTGTAGCAAAGCATTTAAAAATATGAAAAATGATCCTATGAGACCCTCCTACTTTCATGTGTGTAGGACCCAAATGATCACCATTGAATTTGGTACAAATCTCTAAAAAAGTTATCACATGGGTGTGGGACTTGATTTTTTTAGAGATCTGTGCCAAATTTACTGGTGATCCTTTGGGGTCCTACACACATGGGTGTGAGAGGGTCTCATAAAATCATTACTCTAAAAATATATATACGATCCTATGAGACCCTCTCACACCTATGTGTGTAGGACTCCAAAGGCTCACCATTAAATTTGGCATAGATTTCTACAAAAAGTCAAGTCCTACACCCATATGATAACTTTTTTAGATATTTGTATCAAATTCAATGGTGCTCTTTTGGGGTCCCACATGAGCGTGGGAGGGTCTCGTATGATCATTACTCATTCTTAAAACAAAATTAGGAGTTCAAACAAAATTAATGACATGGAGAAAAAGTGATGTATGTCATCCTCCTTTTTCCCTTCAACTTGCATGACGAAAAGTGATGTATGCCCATTTTGAAACATCATTTCCATCACAAACCACTTAGCACAGGGGGAAAATATTTTATGGTCTTGAAACAAGTGATTGTAGACGTGGTCCCCCACACAAAACACCTTTGTCTTCTTTTTGTTTGGATAGGTGAGCAATGGGATGGAACCTTTCTAAAAGAAAAACACGATGTGGTACCTGCCACCCAGCACTTCTACCTAGAGCCCGTTCTTATGGTAGGAATGGAACTCTTGAAATTATTCATCTCTTATTCTTTATTCTAATTGTTATCTTGCCTACATTCTCATTATATCCGATGTATATATATTACATAGTTACAAGAACATTCCTTGCTAATGGAGGTCCACTTTGCAGCAGTAGCAAGAGTTAGGTCGCTAACTTCTTCATTGAATACCCTCAAAGGTTCTCCTATTAAGTTCGTTCCACCATATCTAAATTGTAGCAAGAAGAATAGACTTCTAATTAATTGTCTATTTTTGGGAGGGGAGGTCTAATCCATTAGTCAAACAATTGACCGAGAGATGAAGGTGAGGTCCATATAAATTTCACACTTGGAATAATGACATTTTTTTGTTGAGCAGTATAAGAATAGATGGTCAATGCTTTCTTTATCTGACTTCCACATAAAACTCATCTCCTCCATCATTGAACTAAAAGCCCAGCTCAAGCAAGATACTTAGCCATAAGTATTGTTTAAAATTGTATTCATCTGAAAAAAAGTATACAATAAGACCATTTATATCTTGTTGATAGAGGTAATAATTAATCTTGACCCTTAAATGTGAAATTCAGGCTACCGTGTTTGTTCCATTGGCCAATCAAGCACAATGTCCAAAAAAAAAATATATTAAATACTTATAGGGAAAAGTTTATATAGAGTCGAGGCTCTAAACAATCAAATTGGAGCCTACTTTAAAATTTTCACTAGAAGAGGTTG